ATATTGTGTGCGTGTGTGCGTGCGTGTACACGCGTCGTGTAAAAAAATACACACACATACATACACATCAATTGCAAGAGTTCATCCGTTTTTTTTATCGACGAATATTCGACGCTCTTCCTCCTCTTTTTCTATCTGCGAGCATCAAAATTTAAACAAGCGCTCGTTCAAGGCTGCCAGGATCGTGAACTGTGAATTTCAACGATCCGTTTATTCACCATTGTTTACCGGGACGCCGCGTTCCACGATTCAACGGAGAAAGACGGATAAAAAAAGAAGAAAAAGGGGAGAAAAAAAAAAAAGAGGAAAACGAAATGTTGCAACCTCTGGGTCCACGACTGTATCGTGGATGCGCAGCCGCCAATCAGAAATTATCCATAAATACTGAAAAGCAATATGGCCGTTAGTAGCTGCCAATCGGCAAATTGCCGACAGATCCGAAAAAAAAAAGCGATTTATGAAATTGGATGATCCGGAGGCGGAGGATTAGGAACGGACGATAAATGACGAAACAACAATCAAGGGAGTGGACATTAACTATCAATAAAGCAACTGTCATTTGGCATTAATCACGCGGTTCCTAATTTACATTCTCATTCTCATTTTCTTTCTCTTTCTCTCTCTCTCTCTCTCTCTCGTTACAGAGATAGACAGTCACGACTAGACAGAGTAGCGGCTTGACAGCTTTGCTCATCGAGAGAGTCAACGAGTGCACACTCGACGCTACATAACCTTAGTTGCAGCCTGCTCGAAAATAATCGAAAGATCGACTCGAAGGATCCATATGCAGTCGCGTGCATTCAGAAGAGAGACAGCTTTTCTACCTTAATAAAATTCTTATCTTATAATGATTAAATCCAATCCGTTTGAATCAACCTTTTCTTTTCACCATTTCCACTAAGCGCACAATCCGAGATCGTCTCCTAAAACTGTCTCCTCTGCGTTGCTCCATGTGAGACGAAGGTACACGAAGTTTTCGAATGGAAGGAAATTCCAGAATTTTCTGAAAACTAGGGATCGTAGGAAAGAAAGGGAGACAGTTATGCCCCTCAATCCCGGTTTAATTTATTCTTTGTCTCTTTCTAATTCTAAAAAAAGATAAAAGAAGCGAGTTAAGCCAAGAGCAAAGTTAATCCACATTAGACGTTGACGGATCTTGAGGGAACGCAAGATCACGACGGGAAAGAACCGCGGAGGGATGGGCGGATGGGAGAAGCGAGAGGGCGAGCAGGAAACGCGGACGCGTGTCGCGCGGACGACGCGTGTGTGCACAGCACACGTCGGCACACGGAGCAGAGACAAAGGCACGACGGAGATGGCGGCGTCGACGCTCGGGAATCGCTGACGGCGCGGAAACTCTCGGCCAGAATTTTCTCGGACGCTTTTTCCTCGAGCAAGTCAAAGCAACGACATCCTGAATTGAGTCCCGATCGACGACGGGGATCTGTCTTTGTCTCCGTCTCTCACTTGCTCTCGCACACACGTTCGCTCGCTCTCGCTCGCTCGTACGCTCGTTCGTTCACTCGCTCTTACTCCGTCGCTCTCGTCACACGCACGCACGCACGCTCGCAGGCTCGCTCGCTCGCTCGTTCGTTCGTTCGTTCGTTCGTCCGTCCGTTTGTTCGTTCGTTCATTCGTTCACTCACTCGCTCGCTTACCCGTAGTTCTCGACGGCAAAGGGATCCTGTTTGCGTTTTTTCGACGCGACCTCCGCACGTAGCTGCGCGACGACGAGAACGACGCGCTCGGCATCTTCGTGTCGTCGGCGGCCCTCGGCGGTCGTCCTCGTGTCCGTCCTCGTTGCCGTCGTTGTCCTCCTCCTTCTCCTTCTTCCTCTCCTCCTACCTCTCCTCCTGCCGCTCCTCCTGCTTCACCTATTTCACTCGCGATCGCGGTCCGTCTCGTCGCACTTCCCGATTACAGAGGTACGCAAAAGATCCGATGGTACCCTCCCCGGCAGTAGGGCGGCCGCCGCGGTACCTTAGTCGCGGACGCCCACGGCAGAAAGCTGCCAAGAGTTTAGGATGCACTACACAATAGCGACACTACCATCGTGCATGGCGGCCATCTTCTTGGCTCTGCTCGCCGACTGGCCCAGCCGCCAATCGGACAAGTTTCTGCCCCGCGAGTGCGTGCCGTGCACCCCCCACCCCCCCCATTCGACCTGCAGTACCCGCCGCCGCAACCCTACCTCGTCGCTACGGC